TTATCTTCTATAGCGTTTAAGTTTCATTGATTGCGTAATGTTTTAATTAAATTCACCTTTTTAAAATGTGAAAAGAAGAAAATTATGAGACAAAACTACATGTGCCGTTTTAATGTATCACTTATCTCTCTTGCTTCACAATGTTAAATTGTAATTTTTAGGTTTATGTGTAGAAAGAAGAAAGATGGGGATAAAAAATGGGAGGAAAAAAAAAAGACGTAATAAGAAGGAAGTAGGTGGAAAAATATTTATATATTAAAATTAAAATAAAAAATTATAATTTAAAATATTATATTATTTTGTTGAAAATTCAAGTGTGAGTTTGAAGTTACACATTTGATAGAAATAGAAAAATTAAGTAACTTATAATTAAGAAAGACGCATAACCTATTAGCTTAAGTTTTTTTGTCGAAGGTGATATCATATTCTCTTATATGGTGCTCATGACCCATTTGTAAAAATCTCCTTTTTGTTTGTCCCCTCGTAAATACCTATACGGTTATAGTATTTTTTTTTCAATTGATCTAATAAAAATATTAATTAATGGATAAAAACTTAAAAAATATTCATATAATTTTAGGCATATTTTAAATATATATATATATATATATATATATATATATATATATATATATAATATTAACAAAATGGTTCACTAGTCCACCATTTCACTCTTTAATTTTGTGAATGGACTGTGATCTATAATTCGTCATTGGTATAATAAGTTAGTTTGTTCCATTCTCTACGGACTAAAGATGAACAAGTAGAGTATTTTATCACAAGTAATTATTAGGGATCAATATGATTAAAATAATTATTTAATTATATTGTATCATTAATATAATCTTTTTATTATTAAAAAGAATAAAAATTTCTAATTTTATATAATTTTTTTGTATTTTATAACAATTAAATGAAACGTTTAGATTAAAAAAAATAAAGTTAGAATCAAATAAATATTAACTTTTCATATTAATTTAATTAAAATTTATTGTTTAATATGTTATAGTTTCATACATATTACATAAATTATGCGTTGATATAATTTCTTTAACATTTTTATTTCATATACAGAATTTGTATTTTTATCTAATAAGCCTTTTAACTAATGATAATTTGTTGTACAATCTAATCTAATAGTATCTTTTCAAAAGTAAGTTATTAATATTTTAACATATTTATTCGTTTTACACATAATATATTTGATAAGGTAAATGAGAATAATAAAAAATTTCATGTTCAACTTTTAAGTTTAAATTCATTAAACTCATATCAAAAGACGTATTTTAAATTTTTTAAAAAGAAAGCATAATTATTGACTGATTTGTAATGTTATGAAATTAAATATTCTAAATTTTTTAAAAGGTTTTTTAACGTAATTTTTAAAAAATATTTATTAATTGTATTTATTATTATTATTATATAAGTTAAATTTAGGGTGTTAAAGGTTAAAAAAATATAAGACAAACATTGAAACCAAAATTAAAGAGTAAAACCAAAATAAATAAAAATATTAAAATAGACCAATTCCATAGTTTTAATAATAAGATAATACATTTATCATAACTATCTAAAGATTTATATCTAAGTTTGAATTCAATTAATCAACTAAACTGGTTATACGAATTAAATTAGAGTATCATTCAATTCGTTATTAATTTAATTTCTAAAATCAAAATCATAAATTGATATCATAAAATAAAATCTAGATGAGAGAAGAGAATAGTGAACTCATAACAAGAAACATTTGTAGAAAACTCAATTTTACTTGTTTGATCATGATTTCGTAATTAATCCTCAAGATTTAACTCTCTGTCGATGAAGAATACAAAATCAACTAAAAAATAAGAGAGCAAAAAAGGAAGAGAGAATAAGTTATGTTAAACCAGATTAAATCCAATCTTTATGGGTTGTTTTACAAAATTTCAACAAATTTGTCTCAATTTTTAAACATTATAGAAAATAGCAACAAATTCTAACTCCAACAAACCATATATCAATTTCAAACCCTAGAAATATAGAATTGAATGTAACTAAAATTAATTAAAAATAATACCTATAAAGAAAATTAGTGGCAAAATAGTGAACAAAGATAAGATAAGCTATAAACATAAAATTACTATGTCTTATCAATTGTAAGTCCATGATAAATAAGATCATTCAAATTGTGGCTCTCAAAGATTTGGAGACAACACAACGAACAACCATTTATACAACTTGCTAACTAAATGCATTATTAGATCATAATCATTTTTACACACAATAAATAGATATGGAATCTCAAGTAATAAGGTAACATATAATTATTTATGGGTGTAAAGTGAGTCAAGTGTCTCACAAGGGTTCACTTATATATGGATCAGCTCAACTCAATTCACTTTTCGTTTAGACAAAAATTTTGTAATCTAGTTTGACCATTAAAAATTGATAGATTCATTGAAATGACTTAATTAAGTAATTGTTTCACTAAAATATTTTTTTCAAAAATATTTTTTTCATCATGAATTCACACTTATACATGGATAGGATAAATTAGATTATTAAAGATTAAAAAAAATTGACTCAAATTCATTTAACTTAAGTCACATTCGTTTTGATTCATAATAAAAATCAATAAATAAATTTAATCCAACTCAACTTAACTTGTGGTAAATTGAAATAACTAAACCTTGTATTCATCTAGACACCCTTGCATATAATAAATGTCTCAGTCTAGGTGTTGGGAAATATCTCAAGAGGTTTTTTCAACAACATTTTGGTGTTTATTGGGGGACATATGTAAAACAATTTTTACACCATTATAAGATTCCTAAACTACAAACTAGAAAATTAAAGGTTTCATAAACACCACATCACTAGACAATAGTGATGGAGATACTCTCACTCTATCGCAATTACAACAATAATAAAGAGATCAACAAAAGGTTGAGGATTAACGAGAATAAGAGACACTACTAGAGAAAGTGATAAATCCATATATGTAGGACTAATTAGTAATATAAGTATAATTTCACTAAAAAAATAAAGATTGAAAGTATAACCACCAACAAGTCAATGATAAAGCAACACGATTGTAAACTATTTTTTGTGTAGGTCATTAGTCAATTTCATCCATTATATTGTCCCTAAAATTGATATATTCATATAATCTCGAGATATTTTGAGTGTAGATGATGATTAGTAGTGAGTTAAAAGAAGACTAATGCAATATGTCTAATGAAACTCTTTGTGAATAGGAATGTAGGTGATATGATTTATTTTGATTTTGTAAAAAAAAAAATTACCCAAATCAAATATAATATTTTAATACGAATCGTTTTGATTTAGTTTTAATTAAAAAAAATGAACAAAAACAAAGTAATATTTTATGGTTTAATCTAACCAGTTTTTGTGGTTAAAATCCTTGTTAAATAAACAAACATATATACTTTCACATTCAATAATAAGAATATATGTTGTAAATTATAAGAAATTAAAAATAAATGTCAAATAAAAGTATATATTCCATATCAAATAAAATAACAACTAATATTGTAAATCATAACAAATAATCAATTAATAGTTTAAATGAATATTTCTTTATGTAAATGAAATGCATTATCGCAGTAGATTTGTGTTGTCCGGATAGCACAAAGTTGTTGAGTTTCTTTGTGATAAAATTGCATAATTGAAAGTTGAATTGTTATGTTGTGTTTTATTTTATAAGGATGTGAATTATTGAAATTTGGATGGTCATGCTTTATTAGTTCTCACAAGTTAAACTCACACTTGTAGTTTTTTATATTTTATGTGACTGTTTTATGTTTTACTAAGTTTATTCACAATAAATACCATTTAATTTCAGTATATATATTATAATTGGAGTTTGGTTTGGCTTGGATTGGTTCCAAACCCCAAACCAAAATTCGAACCGATTAATTTTAAAATATTCAATCCTAAAAAATAAATAAAGAAATGGTTTTAATATATTTTAGTCCAATAAATAAATAAATTAGTTTTAATTAATTTTTTATTTGTTTATCGATTTTTAATTTTTTATTAATTAAATTTTGAACTCCCTATTTATCAAAAGTACAATAAATTAGTTATAAGATCATGTCATATGTTCTTTCAAATTATTATTTTCAAGTTATTCTACAAACAAACAAATTCAAACCTTAAAAAGTTATATATAGACTTGTTTGACATTGAGTAACAAGGAGGTGAACCATTAGAAGATTTCTTAGGGAATTTTTCCATTAAGTTTTGCACATCAATACAGAGAAAGTCATGACTCAAACACGGGCCAAGGAGTGTCCAACAAGGAATAACTAGTTTCAGATCTAAAAACAATGAGAGGTGTTATGTATCAACCATATGTTAGGGATGATGGTTTCACCCATTCTCACATCCAAGTTAAGGTATGAACCAAGAACTCGTGAAATACTGAGTTTACTTATTATTTTTAGGGATCAGATTCACGTTTAAATAAAGACGAATTATTCCATACAAAATATTAAAAATAACATACACCAGTGAGGCAATTATTCCATAGTAAATAAAGATCAGTTATAGATTTTTTAATTAAACAAAATAACTTAAAACACCTACTTATAATAAGTTCTGACGGTAGCTTATATTATTTTTTAATATTAATTATTATTGTTATATATGATATTCTTGATGATTGGATATTTTATTTTACTCTACAATTATTTTCAAACAAAGGATTTTATTTAATATTTATATTTAATTTTAAATAGATAAACCAAGTGTTATGTATAAGATTAAGACAAGTTGAAGAAGAGATAGATATAAAACCAAATAATGTTGTCACAATCAAACTAAATGAGTATCTCATTTTATCCACATATACTTCAAAACTAATGAAATGCCATAATAAATGAACAAACAAACAACCCACACTGCATCATAAGATATCAAAATAATAATACTAAAAATAAAAAGGGAAATAACAATGTTAATGCTAATATTTCTAGAGGCTAACAAAATAACAATTTCTATTTAATTTTCTGCTCTAATAATTTATCCCTTTTTTCCCTAAAGAATTGAACCCAAAGATTAGAAATCCACATGATACTAACCCCAATGGCTGTAACAACCACCAAAACCCAAGAAATCCAAGCCCAAACAGGAACAAGCCCACTCGCACCCCCACTCGCGTAGAACACCACCATCCGGTACATGAAATAGGGTCCAACGAAACCTCTCACAACAGAGTAAACCGTGTAAAACGGCGGCGACAGCGCATCATAAAGCTTGTCCGCGCAAGGGTCCTCCCCACGGAGGGCACCGGCGAGGGTCCATGTGTTCTGGCACGCACTGGTGACTTCAGCAAGAACGAGAAGCACGAGGACAGAGAAGGCACCATGTGAAACGGCGTGGCGGCACGTGAGGACAACAAAGAGTGTGGCAACGTGGTGCGCAATGAAGAGCACATCGTTGGGGAAAAACACCAGGTAGTGGAGTAGATCCATGAGAAAGTAGGCGGCGCTAAAATCAAGAACCAGTTTCTGGAAAGCCGTGTTGGGTGCCGCAAAGCCCCGCTGGGTGTCTGTGAGAAGAGCAGCGCTGCCGAGGAGCGCGGCAGGAGTGCCGTGGAAGAGCGAGATCAGGCAGCTGGTGAATTCGGATCGGATCTTGGGATTGCGTTTACGGAAAACGATGAAGTAGCCGATGAGATAGATGGCCAGGAACAGGAGGAAAAATGGCAGAAGAACCCAGCTTTGCAACGACGCTAAGGAGATTGCCATTTTTTACTTTTTTTTTTTTTTTGTTTCTTGTTCTGTATTTTGCGATTTTGTTATGATGGAAAAAATAGAATATCCTGGGTTCTTATTCTCTGATGCTGCGTTTTATGGGTTTTGATTGAAATGAATGGTTTTGGGAGAGAAACCGAGATTTGATGAAGTGAGAAATGGAGTAAGCAAACCAAACACGAGAAAACCGAGTTTTACAATTCACTGGACTTTTTGCTGTTTCTTGGGCTTTTATTGGACTCATTACATTGGAGGTTTCAAAGTAATTTTTTTTTATTATTTTCTCTTAATAAAGTAATTTATATTAATATATAAAACATAATTAATTTAAGATGTGGTCCCAAAGTTTTTTTTTTTTCAATCTTGTCTTTGTATATTTTTTGTTTCTATGGTTATTAGTTTTATGTCTGTTTGTAAGAATTAATAATTTAGTAAAATTGATATATGTATTTTTTTTCATAAATTCATAATTAAGATTAAAATGTTTACACATTCATTATTTTACATATTTACATAAGATTAAAATATTATTTTTTACATGTTTACACATACACTGTTTAGAAAAGTAATTTTGATTTCTCTTACATAATCACAACTAAAGAAATATATGCAAGTCACATATTTGTTGTATTCGTAACAAACAAATAAATCATTACATTTTAATATTTTAATTATAAAAATATCATTTTAAGTGAAAAGGCAAAACTTAGTTTTAGAGAAAGATCCTCTTAATATTGAATAAATTTTGATAAAGTCTTTTGTCCTCTTATTCACGAATTTTGATAATTATAATAAAATAAGCCATCTTTATACATTATTTATATTAATTTACAAATAAAGAAATATTATCATAAATATATTATGTTTTTTCTTCTTATGATATGCATTATCAAAGCAATGATATATGGTGTCATGGTTTTTTTATTTATTAATTTTAACATTTGAAACATGTTTTACATTTTTAGTCATTCAACTTTTCTTCTTAAGTGTATAATACAACAAACGTAATGGCAATTTTTTTTTATATATATATACTTTAAATTATATAAATATGGTTTTGTTATAATTGTTTAACATGTTTAGGTCATTAGAAACTATTTTTGTTACCTCCTTTGTTTTGTTTTTGTTTTCGATTATATATATATATATATATAAGACATTGTAGTTGTAAAATTGAAATACGACATACATTGTAGTTGTTACACTATTTGTAGGACAAATGGTAATGTTAGAGGAGAAATTCCTTTGCAAAGTTCGTGTTCTCCATTACCTATTCACTCATGCTAAACTTCACATTCAATTAAATTTACGTTGAACATTCTATCTTTTTATTTTAAAAACATAATTGTTATGTGCTGTGGAGGAAAAGTAAATAAATTTATTTAAAGTGTAATAAAAACAATCATTAACAATGCTTTCAAATAATACTTAAGAATAAGAACATACATTTCATATATAATTTTCTTATTAGAAATAATATTATTTTACTATTTAACAATCAATAGACATATATCTAAAGTTTCTCATCTAATAACTAAACTTTTTAAAGTAATTGGTCATCAAACTTCAAATTTATATATATTTATAATTTTGATTTTTAAATTTAATAATCATTAAATATATTTATTTTATATTTATAATTTTAGTCTTGTTTTTTTTCTTGTAAAATATCAAAACAAACTATTAAATATATCATATATCAGATAAAAAATATTTTATACTTTTTCATATTTTAATTTTTATTATTATTTATTAATAATTTATTATTTAGCCTCCAAAAATTATTCACCTTCCTCCCCTCTTTCTATCAATATAAAATTGATTTGGAGAAGATTTGTCATTTCTCCCTTTTATTATCAATATAGAGTTCATCTTCTCAAGAGGGTTTGAATGGGAAAAAGAAGTTAATGAAAATTTACAAATTTAAAAGTGAAAATTTGAAATGCACAAATACATAGGAGGAATTGATAGATAAAAAGAATAAAATATTGATAAAATTTTAGTTCATGTACTTTTATGTTTGTTAAGAGTGTTGACACATCTCAATTGTTAAGAGTGTGGACACATCTCAATAGAAAGTGTTGATGTTGCATAAATTTGTTAGAGACACTATAGTTTTACCCAATTTGCTTTTTAGATTGATACTTAGAAATAAAAAATACCCAACTAAACTCTCACAATTTACCTATTAACTATTGGCCCTTGAAGGATTAAATTTGCTTTTGATTAAATTGGACTAGGCACCTAATCACGGACTAGAATTCAGTTATTTATTTAAATATTTATAATAATAAGAATATTTAAATAAATAATACATTTATACGTATATATAATTTAATTATTTAATTTTATAAAATATAAATTATTAAAATCAAAGTTCTAAGATGGAAAATGTAAAAAAAATTAAAAAAACACGCAAATGTCAATTTGAAGAAATCGAATTTCAACAGGTGATAAGCGTTTCATCCAAAAAATTAATCGGAAACAAATTCCGTCCAACAGGGAAAAATAAATCAAATTAATTAATTAGAAGAGGTTTTACTTAGATAATTTTCTTAAAAAGTATTATTGACACCCGTGTAAAACACCCCCCAAGATCAATGCTTGGGTTGGTAACACCTTTGGTAGGCCAGTAGAAACACCAAAATGATAAATAAATAAATAAATAATCGTACCCATTTATTTGTAAATTTTGTTGGAGATAATCGGATTGACATGGAGCCAACCAATTGCCCAATCCAAATTATATTTAGCTGATTGAGTCAAGAAATGGAATTGCTGAAAATGATATTTTGCTTTCACCTGTAATTTACAAAATAGTAGACACAGGAAACAAGATAATTTTGCAATTATATACGAAAATGTTTCGCCTAAAATGAACAAATGAACAACATGGAACACACAGTAAGATCACCAAATCGTTAGTAATGTTCTGAAGATGAAACTGCGTTTAAAATTTTAACCAAAACTAAGTTAACAATGGAATAGGCAGAAGCAAATACAAGCACTAAGTACTAAAAATGTGGAGCTTACAACAATGTATGTTCACAGATTCCAAGACCTATCTTTTGTACAACATAACCTATACGAAAGGACGCGACTCTAGCCTCTAGCCTCTAGCCAATATTGGAAAAACAAGAAGATTTATGTATTACTTCTATTTTCATTGCAAACGGCCCCAAACATAGCTTAGTTTCTGTTCAAACAGTTCCTCTACTGCCATCATAACCCAAAACTGAATTAATATTTTCCCTTCTAGAAGCTCAATGCTTCCACAAGAAAATATGCTGTCCCACTCACGATATAAATGCTTACGGAAACTTGGATAATTTGGGGAACTATTTTGGGATCAAGATTAGGTATAGTTTGATCCTCAATTCATCATTAGAATATATGCATAACTTTTAATCAATCTCTCCCTCTTCTACATCATGTAAAAGATTTGGAATGCCTGGTGGCTCACCTTCCTCCTCTTCATCATCAGCTTTTATGTATAATCCTAGTTGTTCCAAGGGATTACTACTCCCAAACTTGAAACTACCCAGACCATCCTGAGAGTGATCAGGACTCGTTTCATCTACAGAACTTGGCAATTGCTCAGTGGGTACAGCTCTAAGCATTTCCAAATCTTCTAGAAGCCGAGAATTCTCATTGATTTCAACAGTCTTTTCCATCTGCCCAGATGCCAGTACATGCTCCAATAATCAAGACAAAACAAGCAGATAGACATGTTTTTGGCAAGAGACTAAGTTATTTACCTGGAGCAGTGCTTGTCGGGCAGCTTGTCTCTCAAGCTCCCTTTTTCGTCTGGCTTCTGCAGCAGCTTCTGCTTCTGCTTGCTTTTGAGCATCTTCAGCTGCTTTTGCTTCTGCTTGTAGCCTTGCCTTTTCTGCTTGATAATGAGTTGGATCAACAGAGAGGGTTAGTAATGGAACAGTTTGACACATAACTCTAGTAATACACACAAGCATGACACCCAAATCACCTTTTCTTTGCTCCATCTCAAGCTTCTCCCTTTCCTGGCGCAATTTCTCAGGGTCTCCCTTTTCACCCTGACCCAGTTGAGGCAAATCACATCAGATTTAACAATGATCAGAAGGAAGAGTAAGTTCCATGGAGATAAAAAATGTGAATCAGCTTACTTGTTTCAGTGTCTTTTCTCGAGCTTTCAAAATGGTATCAAGAAATCGCTTCTTCAATACAGCAGCTCGGTAACGTTTATCAGGGGAGACCTGTCTCTCAGTTGGAGCACTGTCCCCTATAACAATGACAAGATAATCAATGTAATTATCCTATATAACAGTAAAACAATATCTTAAAATATCTATCCGTTCTTACCATCTTGATGGCAATCAGAATCAAAAGAACTTGGCTTAAGCTGAGAGTTATCCTCAAGTTGATCTAAGCCACTAACAGATTCTGTGTAAGAAATAAAGGGTCGGAGTCTAAGTGAGTATAGCAACGGACAAGAAACTGAATCATAAATAACATTAAAGAAAATCTAGCAATTTCAAGGCTACCCAGTACAGAAATTTAAATGAAGTCCCTAATCCAAGTCTGGCTGTATCAATAAGAACATAAGATGGTTTCATACTGGTACATTAAATAAATTATAAATCATAATAATTACTACTATATATGATAGAAGTAACAGGAACATTTTACTAATTAGTATGACACTTATAGAGTATCCAACTAAGAATATACAGAAAAAGATATTGTGGAATAAGCAAAATATACAACACAAACAGGAGACAAACATCGAGGGAAGAGCAAGTTTTAGTTGCAGAATTAGACCTCTTCTTCATATGGCAGTTCATTATATAAACTTTGAATGGCACAAAATGACAGACAAACACAATTACTCACGATTTCTGTCAAGAGTAGCAGCAGCCCTGGTTTTTTCACCAAACTGATCAGCAGAACCCAGATTTTCTGGTGCCTGAAGAACAACTTAAAATGAATTATTATACCATGCGAAAATTAAAAACCATACACAAGATCTTTCACAATACCAGCAATCAAACAATAAAGACAAAGAGATAACTAAATAAAAATAAAATCTTCAATAATGAAACTAGACCTTTGCTGCATTTGCTGGACTTGCTTTATCATCATCAGATTCACTGTCAGAAGAACTATCAGAGTCTGTATCTGCAATGCACAAATTATAACGGTCACAAGGTAACATAAAAAGCTTCTTAATTAAATAAACAGAAGCAAAAACAGAAGCACATTACTCCAAGAAAATACTTTGGACCTCAAACAATAATGTACAGCATGTACTGCCCACATAGAAAATTGGGAATGTGATTTATCTTCAGTTTTGGCGAGAAAATTGGGGACATTAGGTGTGACACAAGTGTCTATTTGAAATACTATAGAAGGTTTGATTTCTGATGGAATTTATTTACAAGTGAAGGGGGCTTGAAAGACCCAATGTTAATGAACAAAGAAGTTTATGATTGTTATCAAGCCCCAATGTTACTAAACAAAGAAGTTTATGATTGCTGTGTTTGTGGTTACCTCAACGACAGAATGATAATATACATTCTATTTTGAAAATAGAATGAGATACATGATATCTCTATCTAGAATAATTGTTGTGTATGTGTTCATACTTGAATTAAAAGAAATATTTTTATAAAATTATTTTGCAGATACCCTGGTTGAGTTTTCCACTGTATCAAAACTCCCTTTTTAAACTAGTTTTATTCAACAAGACTAAAAGTATTGTTTCAGGAAAGAGGGATGACTTAATCGTGAGCGAGGAGACTTAAAGACTTTGTATTTACTTAGTTTAATTTTTAGATTGTAAGTGTTTCGTTTGAATAAATAATGGCTTGTGGCTGAATAAGTATATTTCTTTACTTCTTTATCATGCAGAATCACCAGTGGACACCCCAATCTTGGGAATATTGATTTATTCTGTATAAAAACTCTTTAATTTGCTTTTTAACATGATTAAGGTATCAATGTTTTAAATGTAGATAGTAGAGTAGAGCAGCAACCCTGAAAACACTTTAGCAATATGGCATAAGCAGGACAGCCACTACTCTAATTTTTTAATAGAGTTATAATGTAAACTATAGTTATTACTATATAGTCATATGTAACAGAAACTCTTAACATAAACATTTGAATTCAATGTGGACAGCTGCAACCAGAATAGCATTCCCCAGACTGTGGGAGTAGGTCGCTCAAATCAGAACAGAAGTTGTCAGACTGCTAGGTCACAGTAGAAGGGGCAGGCTGTCGAAGGAGTGGGCATAGGGAGAAAATTGAAACTTGAAATGAGAAGTGAAGGTTGAGAAAGATTAAAGGAGAAGTTTCAAAAATGTGTTCAAAAAGTCAATAAAAAACAGAACTTGATAGAGAACAATCACTTAAAAGGCAGAAAGTATACCTGCTCAGAAAAAGGAGGGAGAAAGATAAATTTAAAACAGCTTTCCCCATAAATATAAATAAAAGGAAAAATTAAGTTCCAAAAACGCCTATAAAAAAACATAAGCCAAGAATGTCATTTTATAGAGCTATTTTTGAAAAATACTAGCAGCACTATCCCAGCCACTAGAGCCATGATTCCAGTCTTTATGGCAATGACACCGAAGCACTCTACTTTAAAGGTCATATTTGGTGAGTTTTTATTTCAAATTTGGACAAATTATTTAATTGAGTTTTATTACTTTATCACTTTGGTAATCATATAAAAGGAATGACAAGTTAAGATAGCCATCCTGAAAAGCTAATGTCCATTAACATATAAATCTAATATGATGAGACTTACAATCTATTACATTCTCCAACATTGAAATGTAAAAACAGACTCCCTTATTTGACAATCTGGTGGTTGCTTTCTATATAATGGCAAAATGCAATTCACTTGTTTGAGTACATGTTAACATAGACTTCAAATATCATTGTCTAAAGATAAGTTATAACAAATGAGACAACTTCAAGCAGAAATATATTAAACAAAATATAATGACAACTAATAGCTACGTGAATTTCTTATCATTGAAATTACAAGAAAGAGAAAATTACTAGAGGGGTTCTTGGTAAAAGAACATTTCCAATGTAGGAGCAAGTAACAACACAAGTGATTTAGTTATTCATTGACCATTGTTAATTATGGTGGTGGTTATTTGGTCATAAATTGGACATGAACATATTTTACAAATAATAATTCTTTTTCTAACAAGACAAACACCAAAGAAAAAAATTCTAATCACGAATCAATAAGTACTCATGTGAGAACATGTTTTCCAACTCAAAAACCAAAAGAAGGCACAAGCATAGAAAGAGTATAATTTCAAATGTTTAGACACACTGCTCTAGTCATGTAATGAAATCCATCAACCACTATCACATATGATGAACTGAGATTTAATTAACTAATTGTCAAGGAAAAACAAGGCAGTATTGAAATGATGGTAAAAATAAGGAGACACCCCATTTCCCTTTTTCAGCATGTTGGAGCAACCTTCTGAAATCTGAATTAATTGACTGTGATATGTAGTTTAAAAAAAATCAAGAGCTGCTGCACATTTCCTAATTGTAAGACAGCATGCAAAAATTGAGTAGTTTTTAGAAGCATATGATGAAGCTCGGTCACTCACATACATACAGAAGCAACTAGTAGCTGAGCTGACAGCTGGCACTCTGAAACAGTGTCTGTTAATATTTATTAGTCGTATATCATTCTGTATTAGCTTCTGCAGTACATGATCTCTATAAATAATATGTAACATGGCCCAAAATGTATGAATTAATTCTGAGCAAAACTCTAAACTCTTCCGATTGTTCTAACTTTTCTTTCAGAACTAACACTTACGAGAAATTAAAAGCTAGATTTAGTGAAAAAACTAATTAAATAATCAGATGGTTACCAGTATCATGTACCAAATATATCCTATTCCTATAATGACAATATTATTCACAGACAACGGAATTACTGTCACATATCACTGAAATTATTCAAGATCATCATAGGTAAATTAAATCTTACTTACCATTGGAGCTTCCTGGGCTTAGGGATTTGTTCATTCTGTAAGTTGTATCCTTCTCAATCTCCACATGAGGATAACTTGACACAGGGGGCTCATTTCCACCAATATCAACCTCTTCATCAGCTGGGTCATTACCTACAAGTAGAACAAAATGAATTTAAATGCAAAAGCAAATACAATATGTGTTTACACTTGTGCACACGCCACACAGACATCACCTTTAAATGGTTGCAATGAGGAATTGCTTGGTCCAGAATCATTAAGCACCTGCAACAGAAAACAGATATCCAGAAGTCAAATCATGTGTAAGACTGACACCTCATTGTGGAGAAAAAGAAGTGTATAATTCAAACACAACATGATAATAGCTAAAATTTATTAAAGGGTTAGGTAGAAAGCAGGTACCTCTATTTCACATGCTTCAACTTTTGTTTTATTCTTTTGCTTCTCTTGTAAAAAGTCGTCCAAAAGCTTCCGTAACGTGAACAACGTATCATCACTGAGATCATCAATATCAATCTCAATCTCATCCTCTCCACATTCTCTACCATTTGAACTATGTTCTTTTAAGAAATCAATTATGTGCATAGGCATTTCTCCCAGCATAGACTCCAATTCTCGACCTAGATCATGCTTCTCTTGATCTGACATAACCTTCTTTGCAGGTGGCATGACTTCAGGTTGTGGGGGCAAAGAGGCAATTTTCCTCTTCTTTGAAGGAGGCGCTGGTCTTTTAGTTTTTACACCTTCACAATTGTCTGGTTTTGCAGGTAATGGAAGAACATCACTTCTTGGCAGTTTCTTCTCAATTGTTTTCCATCTCAACTCAAAAAATTTACTGAGAGTATCAGCCATGAGATGGAAATCATTCCCGGGCGGATTATAGGTCATTGCATTTGAAAATGTAAGCCTCACATCATCAGCAAATTCCAGTGGGCCAGAATATGCTCCTGCAACTATCTTACTTTTTACTGATCCCAAATCCATAGGACGCTTAATAATACTGAAATAATCCGGAAGATTCAACTTCACAACATCCACAGGGGTGTTGAAAACCCAACCATACTGATGAGTCATCAACTTTTTCAACAGCGACTCACAATCTCTCATTAGCATAGCATTCGCAGTGGTTGGTGAAGCAGTTCGCACCGCAGACTCGAACTTCCCTGAAGAACCGCGGTTCCATCCGCGTGGCTTCTGACTCTTATTACCTGACGATTTCATCTTATTCCCCGGTGCAGAACTAGACAACGACGGCTTTTTATCCCTTTCCACTCCATGCCCATTATTGCCATTACTACAGCTAAGAATATCACTGGAGGACGACATCGCAACACCACTTGCCCTTTGCAATTCAATTTTCTTCTGAAGCATCCGAATCTGCTCAAGCTCAGACCTCAACCTTTGCACCAGATCTTTCCTCTGGGAAAGAGACATATTCGACAAGGGAACAACTTGCATTGGGGCACCAAAAGCATCACGGCGACTCGAATTCAAGCTAATACATTTCCTCGCCGGGATACTCGAATCCTCGGAAACCGTAATTTCAGTGTCTATCCGTCCAGAGCTACCAGACCCCTCAGATTCACCGGCGGTATCAAGTCCATTTCCAAAATAACCCCCAGCTAGCCTACTCTTCGTGATCATCATGTTCAATTATTCAACTAACCAAAATCCTCAGTTCCTCAACCAAACCTAACGGCCTGGTGCAGTTCACGATTACTGTTGAAAATTACACAGTAGTTAATAACGAAACAAGCTAAAATCCAACACCGTAATCTTCGCTACTTGAAACCCTAGTAGTTCAAAAGGGGGACACCACCGAAAATGAACGAAACAAACTCAAACAGTTCGAGAAATCCAAAGCCCCTTTTTTTATTAACTCTAATAATTAAACCATAACAATAACAACAGTAACATATAACTAGATAAGGTAGTTACAAAGCTTCCACCACGGAGGCTAATTTCAAACGGAACCCAAACCCCAAATCAATTACCAGCTACTAACTGAAAGCACCTTGCTCAACCAAACTGGAAGTAGTTCCTTCTTTCGGAGGAAGCGGCGGTTCCGGAAGGGTGAATTTGGCGTGACGATTCGAACCGGACGAGGAGGAGTCAACGAGCTAGGGGGACAAATCCTTGAAACCCTAACGGAGTAAAACGGCGACCAGTTGAGCGCGTTTCACCGGAAGCGCGAAGGAGCGAGTTGGGTGAGAGAGAAGGAAGAGAACGACGTCGTTGCAGAGTGAAGGAGAAAGACGATGAAGAGAAGAAAGTTCGTGGCTGAGAGAGACGAGAGTGAAGCGAACTCGTCTCCTTTAAATAGTAAAATAACAATGCCGCCCCTCACTTTCTTCAATCCCTTGCACTGCAATTTCCATCGCTTGATGAATGGTCTCAGCCGTACGATTCATGTACAGTTAACGGATACGATGCGACCTGTGATTGAGATTTGATTGGAGATCGTATTTTAGAATTATTAATTGTAATACATGTACAATTCATAATTATTTATTTTTAGGTTTGATTAATTAGTTAATAAATTTTAAAACTGTATAGAAGATGATTTTAACTATCTTGGCTAAAAAATTTAACTGAGATCTGAGATCTGAAAATAATTAACGGTGCTTATTAAAATAATATTAAAGGATTGAATTACAGTTTTTTTGGAATTTAATTAAAATTTAAATCATTTAGAGACCTAATAATTAATTTAACATTATTGTTATCATAAGAAATTAAATATTGCGCATAATACATATTTACTCTTGTAAAAATTATAAAAAATAAAGACTTTTAATATAGGTTATATTTTAAATTTATAATAAATAATTTATTGTAGTATAAGATATTTTTTACTATTTATAATTTTTTATTATTAATATAAAGTATATATTAGTAGTAATGAATAAATAAAAAGATTGATTACAGAAATAAACAAAAAAACAAAAAAAATATGTTTTAAATACACAGTGAAAAGATTAAAAAAAAAAAATTATGATGAGATGCCTAATTGAGTGTTTGTTTGCACAATTGAGAAGGGGATAACAAATAGTTATTAAAAAAGAATACCCTAATTTGAGCTATTGGACACATTCAATTATTAAAAAAAATATTAACATTATATTATAAGATAATGAGAAAAATGTTTCTCCATAAAGTGATTTGAGTTCTCTAACAATTACTTTAAAGGTATATTTATAATGATTTTAATTAGCAGAAAAGGTTATACTGATAGTATATTAAATTAATGGAAACGTTACAAATTATTTCACAACTTGTTATATTAATATTTTTATATTACAAGGATTGTTCATTGTATCTTTTTCTTCAATTTTATTACAAGGATAGTGACAATGATATTAAATATTTTTTTAAAAATAAAAATTATTTAAAAAATCAATAAATAGATAAATTTCTATGAGTAACTATTGAGATTAATAAATGGTTGGAGAGAAGATGATTAGTTTAAAAATATTTGGAAATTGAGAGAATTGGATGTGATGAGTAAAAGTGGGGTGGTGAGATGTGAGATTCAGATATCTTTTCTTGCACCACTGGACACCACAAATCCACAAAATCAGGTCAACCTCTTACCCCTCCAACAAACACGTGGATAAAATCTTCAAAGCATTTACACCTTTGGTCCTGTGCATTATTATGAACAGAAGCATTTTCGTCCAAAATATAATAAACATGTAGCTATGTTTAAATGCCTTGATTGTTAGTCTATTATGAAGTATATTAATAAGATATTAATTTGTTTTTCATGAAAACTGATGAATTTATTGAATAGTTAATCATGCAAGTAATTTATATTGGTTGAAAACATTATTAGTTGGATTATGAGTAGTGCTGTAAAATAATTATCACTTAAACCAATTAATTTTATAGATATAGTTAAACAAAAAATTTAAATCTATGATATTATTAATTTTAATTAATCAATTCAAATATTTATATTACTCTTCATGAATTAGATATTTATTTCTTATATATAAAATGTGAAGTAGTAGTAGTAGTTTTATAGATGAATTGAATATTCTTCCTTTTAAAACAAATATTAATTGATAAATTGATTTTTTTATCAAATTAATAGTATTTTTCTAATATAAATTTTGAGTAGATCTTTATTTTTATAAGATTCATTATATTATAATTTAAAATTAATTTAATAAATTTATTTTCCTACCTAAAGTCAAAAAATAAAAAAAATAAAAATATACTTGACATAATAAAGATTATACTCTCTTATATATTATAATATTATCATATTTTTATTTAACATTATAATATTATCATATTTTTATTTAACATGTAATTTCATTGATATTCTTATCTTAAGAAAAATTTGTGGTTTAAAATTAGTTCTGCTACCATTTTAAAAATTAATAATATGTAATTTAACCTACAAAATCAATAGTATAAATAATATTATCATATTTCTAATTGATATGAGATTTCATTATATCAGCTCATTTTTTTTTCAAAATTTGTATAACACTTTTTTTAAACATTTTGATTAAAAAATAATATTATTTTTACACTAACTTTCTATAGTTATAATTTAGATGATCCTCATAATATGTAATTTAAGGTACAAAATGCTTGTAATATGAGATAGTATTTTGTGGTCGATTTTGACTTTTGTTTTTTCATGTAAGAATTTTGTTCTCAAAACTTGAAATGATGTAAATGTCCTTCATATCAAACTTCAATCACTCATAAAAATTCTGTAGTGGATGTATGGAAAACAAAACTTGGATACGAATGAGCCTGTTGAAAATGACCCCTCTCACGTTCACGATTTCAATGTTGCAGAGATCCACCGTGTTGTTTTTGGTGTGTCCACAATCATCCATCAATGGCGAGGAACATGGGGTACGAACTTATGATTTTGGTATCAATCTAATATATATTTTTATTTTGAAGGAAGTGTTTAGGTAAAAAAAAAATCTTATATATTATCCATCCATCTATGAGTTATAATTATTAATGTTGTGTTGTTTGTTCTATTATTGTCTCTATTATCATTTTAATTATTATTATTATTATTATTATTATTATTATTATTATTATTATTATTAAATCATTATCTTTGTTATCATATATCATACCCTAATATTATTATCAATTTTTTTATCACTTGTCCCATTATTATAACTTTATCGAATATGTGAAAGGATGAAAAAAAAATCTATTTAGAATTATAATAAAATTACACAAAGTATATGAAGTTATTTATGGTTAGTGGTACCGAGGAGTACATTAAGTTATTTTTTTATTATCAACAAATAAACAAAGTCATTTTTATAATAATGTGAGTGAGTTGTTATTTTTAATTACAAGAATGAGTATGATAAACAAATCTCAAAATAATTGTTTCAAATAAAATATAAATGAAATATTTTTTATGCATATTCTAACTTTATTAGATAAAGAATATAACAATAATTTTTTCTCATCTTAGAATGTTATAAAAAATAAGTTAATAAATACGTCACTACACCTAACTAATTGAACATTAAATACATAATAACTTCGAAAAGTGAAAAATAAAGGAAATCTATCAAAGAATATATATATATATATATATATAAATAAAATGATCAAAGTTCAAAGTACTATCATGAAATAAAAATATATTATATATTTTAACAAGAATTAAACAAACAAAATAATGAAAAAAATAATATATCAACATTTTAAATAAAGATAAAGAATATTCAAATATATTAAGATTTATTCAAATAAAAATAATATTTTTTTCTCCAACTATCTTTAAGTAAAAAGAGAAACATGCAACATGCTTCAAAAACTTAAAAAAAATATTCGTTCTAGATAATTGAAAATTATTCAAATATATAAAAAGTGAGACCTTGTGCAAAGAAAAATATTAAATGGATATCAAGATTATCAAATTATTTAAAAAGTATTTTCAAAAATAATAAAAGATAGACTTTCGATATTCTTATCTTCAAACTTATAAAAAGAGGACATCAATTATTCAAAAGAAAATAATAACAATAATAACTATAATAAAATCATTCTAGTCGTTCTACCTTTCTAACGAGTGTTCTTTTCCTAAGAGGTCTAATAGAGAAAAATAATTATCTCATTCATCTAATAAAGTAAAGCTTCGATTAGAAGTACTCGTTATTCAAGACAATATGAACTTATTGGGGCATATAAGCACCACCATAACTTAAAAATTCACTCAAATTTATATTTTTCATAAAAAGAGAACTCTGATATAAAATGGTTTCAGGGATCAAAAGTTTTTTAATACACAAGATCCTCATAAGAGGCAAGTGTAGAGCATACTCGCATTTGAGTAGGGAGAGACAATAAGAATTATATATTTCATACTTTCAGAGAAGAGAAAACTTAGAGAGAAAATGTTTTTAAGAAAGGAAACTTGTATTCGATTGATTCTACTTGAAACATTACAAACATTCCTATTTATAGGCACACCATACAAGCATAATTAAAAGCTTCACTAAACTAAATTAATATTCGGACCCGAAAATATCATATAAATTAGAATCCGAGGATAAGATTGTGACTCACACCTATTATGACCTTATAAACAGGATAAGATAAGATAGTCTATCTTTTCGGATAAAGTAAAGTAGATTCTTTCTTATCTC